CACATAATTGTGCTCATGAGGAACCTGTACACAGACCAAGAGGCAGTTGTTTGAACAGAATGAGGGAACAATGAATGGTTTAATATTAGGAAAGGTGTGTGCCAGGGTTGTATTCTTTCACCATACTTATTCAATTTGTATTTTGGGCAAATAATCCTTGAAGCTGGGTTATATGAAGAAAAACATGGTATCAGGATTGGAGAAATACTCATAACCACCTGTGATATGCAGATGATACAACTTAGCTTCTGAAAGCAAAGAGGACTTAAAATACTTACTGATGAAGATCAAAGACCACAGTCTTGGGTATGACTTGCACCTCAATGTAAAGAAACAATCACTGGACCAATAAGCAACATCCATATAAACAGAGAAAAGATGGAAGCTGTCCAAGACTTTATTTTGCTCAGATCAACCATCTACACTCATGGAAGCAGCAGTCAAGAAATCAAACAATGTATGGCATTAGGCAAATCTGCTACACAAGACCTCTTTAAAGTGTTGAAGAGCAAAGATGTCAGTTTGAGGACTAAGGTGAGCCTGACCCAAGCCATGGTATTTTCAATAACCTCATATGCATGTGAAAGTTTTACAGTGAATAAGGAAGACTAGAAGAATTGATGCATTTGGTGTTGGAGGATAATATTAAAAATATAATGGACTGCCAAAAGAACAGACCTATTTGTGTTGGAAGAAGTACAGCCAGAATGTTTCTTGGAAGCCAGAATGGCCAGACTTCGTCTCTTATACTTTGGACATATATCAAGAGGGACCAGTCCCTGGAGAAGGACATCATGTTTGGTAAAGTGGAGGGTTGGAGATAAAAAGGAAGACCCTCAACTAAATGAACTGGCACAGTGGAAGCAGCAATGGACTCAAATGTAGCAACGATTGTGAGGTTGGTGCAGGACCGGGCAGTGTTTTGTACTGTTGTGCATAGGGTCGCTACAAGTCAGTTAATCACTCAATGGCACCTAACAAGCAGCAGCAGCAGATCTAGATGAGATTGAGTACGCTTCGTACTTGGCCATTAGAGGGATGCAAGTCTGCTGTAAACATTTGGACAGGTTGTGTACTGCACAAAGCCTCATCACCCCCCCACCCTACCCCATTTTAGCCATATTTGTTTATTATAGTGGCTCCACATCTAAGGGGGTCCATTTAAATCACAGACTTATAAGCTGTGTATTTACTATTATATAGTTTCTATAATTTTCTGGCCAATAGTCTCTTATTCAGGTGTGGCTCTGGACTTCGAACCACAAAGTCAGCAGTTCAAACCCACAAGCTGCTCCTTGTACATCTATACAGAGTCGCTATGAGCTGAACCTACTCAATGGCACTTCATAACAAGTCTAATTCGAACAAAACTTAAACAACCTTCTAACAGATAAAAGGCAAATATGTAAGTGCTGATAGTTATGTAAAACCGGGAGTGCGTGGTTGATGTGGCTGGATTATATATGTCAAAATGGTTGAAATAGCAAATTATTTTGTTGGCTATGTATTGCTACAATGAAATTTTTTTCTTTTTTTTTTTTTAATGTGTAAAGAATATGTTTTTCTAACTTGCACAAAGGTGTTGCGTGGAAAGGCCACCCAGGACCTCAGAAATAAGGAGAGAAGCCTACCTTTTTCATGCTGCCCTTTAATAAGGATACACAAGCTGAAGTCTCCTACTAAAACATATGTATCTACTCAGATTGTGAGGTTGGCACAGGACTAGGCAGTGTTTCGTTCTGTTGTGCCTAAGTCAGAACCAACATGACAGCACCAAACAACAAGAGCATATACTCAGACATCCAAATATGTAGCAATATATTTTACCTACAACAGAACAGATGCAAAATTAAAAGGAATAGATGTGAAGAGTTTGCAGCAAAAAAGATTGATAATTGAAGTTGTTCATAGGACTATTATTTGCTAATTTGAGATTTATGAAATATACATTTTTAGTAAATATAAAAACGAATTGTTTAGATATTAAAAACAAACAGAAAACTATGTAAGAGGTCCTAATTCAGACACCTCTGAGACTAGAACTCAGCCCTTGTGTTCTGTCTGTGGCTCTTGTAACCACTGAACCAGAACCAAGTGATAGGTGGTTGTCCACTCACCTGTGTAGGTGTGGCTGACGGAAATCTCCTACAGAGATAGATCCATTCAGCTGTTCTGACAAGTTGGGTTTCTGAGGCCAAGACTATGGCCCAATGTGACTTACATGAAGAAGGTTCTGCCCCCTCTTAAGCCAACATAGAGGTTGACGCATGCTGGAGTCCCTGGGTGGTACAAATGGTTAATGTGCTCAGATGCTAACTGAAAGGTTGGAGGTTTGAGTCCACCCAGAGGTACCTTAGAAAAAAACACCTGGCCATCTTCGTATGAAAAACCAGCCTCAGTTCTGTTCTGACACACGTGGGGTCACCATGAGTTGGAATTAAGTTGGTGACAATAGGTTCAACTGCCAAGTGCTGCTGAGCCTTCCGCCTGGTGAAGGTTGGCCACATCCTAAGACCCAGGAGATGCTTGTCAAACATGTAGAGTCCGAGGTCTCCAATGTGGCAGGTCTGAGGTGGGTCCTGACATCTGTACATTAAACAACTATCCCAGGTGTCTCATGTATCCAGGGGCGTTTAAGACACTGTAAGCAGGGGGACTGAGATCAGATGAACTCCAGCACAGGCAGTCCTCACCTTAGGGAAGAAGTATAGGAAAATGGAATGCAAGTTCAAAAAGATGTACATGTGTGGTCTGGGCTGGGGTACAGCTGCCTGCTGGGGTGGGCTGGGGGAGAGCGAGTGTACAACAGGCCTAAGCCCTTGGGAAGGGGGGAGGGGGGCCTTGTCATCCAGCAGACACAGGTCAAAGAACAAAGCAGGACAGTGCTGCCTGCCTTCAGGACTAGGATTGGGCCGTGGGGCCAACACCCCAGTAAGGGGACAGGCCTTTGCCCCAACCTACCTTAAGGATCAATGAAGCTCTGGGGACTGAGGCAAAGCAGGCACTAAAATATTATGGGCTAGTGACAGAATGGGGGGGACTAGAAACAGGCCACCAAACCCTAGACAGTCCACGGGGCTTCAATTGATTGTCCACCTCGGGCTCCAGCCCCCATTCCACCCCACCCATCTCCTATGTTCAGATGAAATCCAGGGCAGGACCTGAGTCTAGTTTGGGATGTTACTGTCTGCCAGCATCTTCTCAGGGGACCTTATCAGTTCTGGAGGCGGTGGGGTTGGGGGGCTAGACCAGAAAGTGTCTTTCTCCAAGGACCTAGTTCTAAGGCTCAGTTTGCTTCTCTCAATGGTCAAGGCAGCCTTGACTTGGAGGAAGGGAAAGAAGAGCTGAGCCCAGGTTGAGCAGGTCCCTCAGCCCCAGTTCAGACCCCAAAGCCTCTTCACTGGACCCCTGAGAGTCTCCAGCTGGGCCCAGGCAGGGAAGGTGTTGGGTGGAGTCAGTCTTGGCCCCTGGCTGTGACAACACAGTAACTGGGGCCTTTGCCACTCTCTCCTTCCAAGAAGCAACGGCTGCTTCCTACTTTCCTTTTACAAGGGCCGTGTTGGTGGGTTTGGGGTTAGGCCAAGAAACCAAACCAGTTCAACATGAATTATTACACTTCCAGTGCCAGATGCTGGAAGGGGGCCCTGGCAGCTGTGAAGGGGTAGACAATACAATCGACTTTTCTGTTGTGAAAACCTAAGTCTGAGTGCACCGCTGTTCCAGCTATACCACTTACTAGCAGTAGGACTTTGGGCACGTTTCTTCACTTAAGCCTGTTTCCTCTCTTACAAAATAGGGTTACGACTATCTATGTCACAAGTGGACTGGAGCACTGGGAAGACACATAGCTGTCATCACTACTGTTCCCAGCAGCACTGAATCCCTGCCCTCAGGGCTGACAGGGGCAGGACCTGAGCCTTTACCCTATCTCCCCAGAGGCCAGCCTCTCTTTCCCCCACAGGCCCCAGGGAACACAGTGTAACCAAGAGGTGTTGGTCAGAGACTGGAGTGTCCTCCCCTTAGTCTCCAGCTGGGAAGCGCAGAGTGATCGAATGTGATCACCAGGGAACAAGGTCCAAGACTAAAAGGCAGGACTTGGTGAAGGTGGGAGGAAAAGGGGCAGGTGAGGTAACCAGTAAACACTTTACACAATAAATGGGAAGGCCTTGGGGGAGGTGAGGCTGGAGAGAGGGAAGGGAAAGAGGGCAAGCAGGTGCCCAGGACACAAGGGAGGTCCTGTCCCGCCAGGGAGTGCAGTGAGAACAGAGGGAGCTGAGCTGTAATGGATGCCCCAGGAGGTTCAGCAGAGGGAAGGGGTCAGGGCACGTTGCAGGACTTAACCTCCTCACCCCAAAAAAACCCTGGGCCTTCCCTGTATTTGATGTTCCCAACGGCCGACAGGTTCTGTTTCCAGTGGGAGGATGGCAGCAGCCTCCACAGGCTGAGAGACGGTGAAGGGCAAGAAGGAGCAACAATGGGCTCCAAGGCACCACTGAGAGGCTGAAGAGGACTCAGAAACCAGAACAAAAAAGGCCAAAAGAATTTTACTCTGAACACTGTGAGCCCAGGGGAGGTGGGCCAGAAGAGTGCAAGGTGTCCACAGGAGGGGGTTATCTGGGAAAAGGAGCTGTGGGTGCTGCAGTCTTGCTTCCCTGGGGGATGAGGCATGGGGAGTGGAGGCTGGGTGGGCCTCTTCTGGACTCAGCGCTTAGTCCGGGTACCCATATCTGGCCCCACCCCTCGAGTTCCCACAGAGTCTTTGGCAGTCTGGAAACCACATGGCCTGCTCAGTTCCTATCAGGAGAGATGCTGGACAGAGGCCCACCAGACTGACCACTAGCGCTCTGAGTTCTTCCTGGGGCTGTGCCTTCATTGGCAGGAAGAGGGCACAGCTGAGGCAGGGAGGACCTGGGGCCCGATGAAGTCATGCCCTAGTCTCTTTAGCTTCCAGGTCAGGGGTCTCTTGATGCACCCTCAGGACCAGGGACGCTGGGTTAGGCTCAAAGCTCATCAGGGGCACTATGTGTGAGGGGTGATGCCTTCTGGATGCCTTCCTCTTCCTCGGGGCTGGGGTCTCCCTCAAGGTCACCCAGCTCCTTCCTCTGTTTGCTGCTGCTGCTCCTGCCATCGGAGGCCTTGGCCTTGCTGCCCTTCTTCTTGGACTTCTTCCCTCCTAGGGCGGCTGTGTCCCCCTTCTTGCCAGACCACTGCTCTGCCAGGCAACCTGGGGTGAGGAGGGACAATTCCTCAACAGAGTGGCTTCCTGGGTGAGGAGCACCCAGCTCCTCCGTCACTATGGCCACCAGGTCCCTCCGTGACTGGCATGCTGTCCTGCACCTGGTTCCACTGCCTTCTTCCCTCACCATGTCCCGTCAAGCTCCTAAGACACACTGTTTCCTTTCCATCCTCTCCCACCCACCTCCCCTGAGAAGCAGTCAATGAAAAACCCTGCCAACTCCCTCCCCTCCCTCAGACTCACTCGTGTCCTTTCCCTTGAGCACGTGGTTGGCACAGAGGAACACTGTCAGGTCCTCCTCCTGGTGGTTTTTGTACCAGTCCTCGATCACCTCCTCAAACTCTTCCACCAACACGTCACACTGTTAATCACAATGTCTCACGTTGGTGAAGCCCAATCACCAAGCTGCCTCATGGATGAGTTCACTGATCTAATAACCCACTGCAAGATGGTAGGGAACTGTGGTCTCCTAAGGACACTGAAGCCAGCGAGGTGAGATGATCTCACCAGTCACTCAGCTCTTGGTCTTCCTCAGGTGTAGACCCAATCCCCACCCGGACCCATTAGGCACAGCAGCTCCAAGAGCTGAAGGGTCTGTACCTGCTTCTTGAGATCGGCCACCTCTGCCGAGGTCTCGTTCCACAGCTCATAGGGGATGTCCATCACCACCTTGACTCCTTTGTGCACCAGGTTATGTAGAGTCTCAAAGGTCTCTGACATGCCCTGGAAGAGGCGGCCCAATATGAGAGACAGAGACCCCTTTTACACCTCCCTCCCTCCTTTCCTGGTGGGGACCGAAACCCAAAGACCTAGTTCTAAGAAGTGAGGGCCCTCTAGGCTTCTCACCTTTTACTCTCCTCTTTCAGGCCTGTCTCCCACAACTCCCACACAAGACACACACAGACACACACATCTGCTTTTCCACATCTCATCCTTGAAAAGAAATCTGTTGCCCTTAGGCCCTGCTGTTGAACTTTTGAATGCAGACTCCTTTTTCAGGACACACTCACTAGCCTACACCTAGGTCCAGGCCAACTCTGACTTGTTCCTAGGACTGATGCTTTTCCTTGATGAGCAGAGGGTGCAGCCAAGGCAGGGAAGGCTCTTTATTCTGTTAACAATCTCTCTACCTAACTATCCAGGTCATCTCAGAGACAACATGCTATCTGTTTCCTTTAATCCTCTAGAATTCATATAAATATAAGAACGTACATACAGCTATCGCTTTCCTTTTTACATAGTCAATAGCATATCATGTACATGATTCTGGCCCCTGCCTTTTTTATATAACACTATATCTTGGAAACAATTAATTTCAGTTCATAAAGAGCAACTTCATTTTTTTTTTTCAAACCTGAATAATATTTCATCAAATGGTTGAAACCATTTAGTTAACTACTTTCCTCCTGGGAAAAATTTAGATTGTTTCTAATCTTTTGCTGTGCAAAGTAATGTAAAACATTTTTATATTAAAACAACCAAACTCAAAACCCAAACCCACTGCCACAGCGTTAATTTCGTGTTATTGTTAAGTGCCGTCGAGTCATTTCTGACTCATCTAGTGATCCTGCATATGGCTTCCAAGGAGCGGCTGGTGAGTTTGAACTGCCAACCTTGGGGTTCAAACCAACCTTGTGGTCCAGTACTTATCTTACAGCACCACAGGGATTCTAAAACTATAAATCTTTATGGGAGCAGTCAGACTCATCTTTCTCCCATGGAGCGACTAGTGAGTTTAAACCACTGACCTCAAGGTGAGCAGCCCAATGTCTAACCTATAGTGCACCAAGGCTCTGGATGTAATACAAACATGGGTTTGTTACTGATTGTTGTTGTAGCTGTTAAGTGCCGTCGAGTCGGTTCTGACTCATAGTGAGCCTGTATAGAGTTTCAAAGGACTGGCTGGTGAGCTTGAACCGCCGACCTTGTAGTTCAAACAGCCCTGAAGTCCAGCACATGAACCCACAGCACTACACCAGGATTAAAGCACAAAATTCACACAAATTTTGAAGATAAAACCCAAGACTTCTGCTGTTTTAGATTATACCCTGAGGCCTCCTAAGGCTTGATAACCAACCTTGTTTGCCAGGATTCTGAAGACAACTCCCTAACCATGTGCCAGCCACAGAGATTGATATGGACCTGGTTTAGAAGCTATTTTAGAGGGAGAGAAGCATCTAGGCAAACAGTGAGTGCACTGTATGAGACTAGTACAGGCACCTGGGAGGAATCTAGGTTCTAGCTGTGTGGGCAGAGAGGAAAAACCCACCCAACACTGTCGAGTCAATTCTGACTCATAGTGGCCCTAAATGAACTGCTCCATAGGGTTTCCAATGATGTAATCTTCATGGAGGACTCCTGGTGTGGTGCTGTAGGATAAGCACTGGACTGTGAACCACAAGGCTGGCAGTTCAAATCCACCAGCGGCTCCTCAGAAACCCTATAAAGGGTTGCTATGAGTCAGAACCTACTCCAACGGCACTTAACAGCAATAACAACAGTCTTCATTGAAGCGGACTGCTGCATTTTAACCCAAAGGAGCAAACTGTGAGTTTGAATCACTGATTTTTCAGTTAGTAATCTAACACTTACCCAATGTGTCACCAGAAGAGGGACTGGGCAATCACCACTCACCAAGTGGTTTCTGACATTCCTACGCCCCATGCTTCTTCAGATCCTGGACCTTGCTTAGTTTTCCCTATGTGATGGTGGCCCCTAGGGGATGGTCACCACAGCCATTTCTGCCTATTTCTGAGACTGAGGCCAGATGCTGATGGGGCAGACCCAGGCCATGATGGATGTGCCTCCTGCCAGTAAAAACTTAAGAGGTCTCCCAAGACGGAAGGTTGAACAGCGAGTGCAAACAGTCATCAATAAAAAATGGGAGGGTACCTCCCAAGGCATGGTCTTCTTCTAATGGCACCCACACCAAGTAGAGACACACTTAGATAGATGTAAGACCTGGTCCCAAAGGTGATGAAGGGCAAGCACAAACCCAACCTTGGCGAACCGGTTGCTGCCGGTCCTCTCCTTGTGCAGGCTATAGTCCAGGAGCCGCTTGCAGATGGTCTCAGTGACTTCGATTAACCGTAAGTCCCTGCCGAGACAGCAGCACAGAGGAGCTGAGTTCCTGCCCTCCTAGCCCCAGTGGGTTAGCGTCCGTCCCTCCAGCCCTACTGCCCCAACACCTGCGCATCTCACCAACGGGAAGGCAGAGCTGGAAGGAAGATAGGTCATCTGGTCTGGGGGCTCTGAAATGCTGGAACACAGACCAGAGAGACAAAATTTTAACAGGTCTCAGGCAAAAGGAGGAATGTTTTTAATAAAGCTAGATGAGCCTGTAATTAAAATTTTTTTAAAAAGTAAAATGTTTTCAACTTTGAAGTGAAAATATCATTTCATTCTAGTTGATGAACTTTTGCTGTTTTGAGATTAAAATAAAAATTATATACAGCAAAATGGTAGTGGTAGTGTGCCGTGGAGTCGGTTCCAACTCACAGAGACCCTGTACAGGGTTTCCGAGGCTGTAAATCATTACGGGAGCAGAAAGCCTCATCTTTCTCCTACAGAACAGCTGGTAGTTTCAAACTGCTGACCTTGAGGTTAGCAGCCTGACTCGCAACCACTACGCTACCAGAGTTCCTTACCAGGCAAAATAAAAAGGTTGGTAATCCTATGTCACCAATGTCTTAAAAAACTGCATTGGTCCATGAAATCCAAGAGTATGGGAATCATTGATCTAATCCAACAATCTTGCTTTTACAGATGAAGAACCTGAAGCTCAGAAAAATTAAGAGATTTATGAAGGTGTATGTGTGTGGGGGGGAACGGGGGTGCAGAACCAGAAGGCAAATTCAGGTCTCCGTTAGAGCTGCCTGCCTGCCTAGTCATGTGGACTTATTTAGCTGGAAAAGAAAATGGAATGCCAAGCCCCAAGGCTTCCAGGAACAAAGTAGGCCAGTCCCGTGAGGCGCCCTCACTTACGATTTGGTGTACTTGACTCCAGAGGCCTTCCGGTCCAAGATGCCATAGCCTGTGTCAATCACTTCCTTGGTCTTGCCAGTTTCCTCAAAGGCAGACTTCAGCTCCACGGCGACATATTTACACACTAGGGGAGGAAGGCCCAGCACAAGTCATAAGTGCTCCCAGGCCCAAAACTACTGCCGAGGAGTTGATTCCAACTTATGGTGACCCTGTAGGACAGAGGAAGACTGCCTCACGGGGTTCCTAAGGCCATAATCTTTAGGAAGCAGACTGCCACATCTTTTTCCCAAGGAGCAGTTGGTAGGTTTGAGTGGCTGACATTTGGGTTAGCAGTCGAGCACTTAACAACTGTGCCACCAGGGCACCTTGACAAGGACCACCCAGCAAAACAGACCCAGGCATGTGCCTATCTCAGATGGGGGTCAACATTCAGTGCAAAGAAGGAGTTAGAACCAGAACACCATATGAAGTTCACTTTGTGAAACAGGGGCATCCAGACCCACTGTCCTTCCTCTACTACCTTCATTTCTCTTTTGCTCCATCATTTTACTTGAAAAATTTCAAGCATACAGAAAAGCTGAACAGTGTTTAACAGTATATATTGTTTATTAGAGAGAGACTGTGGGACATCATTAAAAACTGTTGATCAAAGTGGAAGTTCTATGAGGGAACTTCAAAAAGTTTATAAAAAACATTACATTATCTTTTATTTCCATTTCTCTATGAACTTTTTGAAGCCCCCTCATAGACCTTCCAATTTATGCTCTCAACAATTGTTAATGATGTCCCACAATCTCACTCCAATAAACAATATACACAGTTTTTGCTAATTCATTTTGAAAGTTAGGTATAACCATTTGTCCAAAAATGAAGCTCAGGAGGCAGGAAGCAGCAGGAAAGAAGGACAAATGAAATGGGGAAACACAGGGAGGCTGCTGGAAAGTGCTGTTACATTGTAGAGATTGAAGTCAATGTCATGAAACAAAATGTATGAATTATTGAGTGGAAAATTAATCTGCTCTCTAAACTTTCACTCAAACCACATTAAAAAAGGGAATAAAGGAAGTTGTAGACATCCTTTGATGACCTTTCACCCTTAAATATTATGAACAATAAGGACTTCCAAAAAACTCATGCTCTTAGTAAGGGCCTTTGACCATGTCATGTGTCTTTCCAACTACGCTACAAGGTTTTCCAAAGTGAGCATCAGGTAGTGGATGTCTTCTACATTCTCCTAGTCTGGGACTCTATATATGCTGAATACTTAATCGATATTGCTGACAGATACCATGTTTGTGTGGTCATACAGTTTCTGGTGTCTTTGAATGGAATAAGGTCTTCAGGCTAAATATCATCAGCCTTGTTCTAACACTTGAAGCAGAGTTTAGCAGAAAACCAATTTACAACCAAAATAAATACATCCCCTAGAGCTTTTTTGGAGTCCTGGTGTGGCACTGTAGGATAAGCATTGTACCGCAAGGTTGGTTGGAACCACAAGGTTGGTAGTTCAAACCCACCAGTCACTCATTGGAAACCCTATACAGGTCACTGTGAGTTGGACCGACTAGGCAGCTCTTAACCACCAACTACTACAGAGGTTTCTTTGGTGAAATTTTATTTACTTGTTGACTTTGAGAACTTGGAACACTTGAAAATTCCAAAAGAAATGCTGATGATCTCAGAGTCTGAAATGAACTGAGGGTGTCTCACCTCTCTGGCTCTCTAGCCAGCACTATCTGGGCTCTCTCTCCTCTCCCATCCTGTACTCTGTGTAAGCTCATCATCTGGCTCTTTTGCATCTTTCTCCCATGCCTACAATGTACAGTATTCCAGGCCTGGGGGGGGGGGCTGGAATATTCTCTCTTTTACCCAATTAATCACAGTCATGATCCCCAATTCTTCCAAACCTTAACCCCTCAAGAACTCTACTGGGGTTCCCACCCAGAACCAGACTCAAAGGAGACCCACAGCACAGACCTAGACCCTCACAGACATCCACTCACACTTCCTGGGCAGGTTCTCCTTCCTTTGTGCCATTCAAGTTACAGAGCCAGGACGCAAGCTTTGCAGGCCAGGCACAGTATGCATTTAATAACAAAGGTATAAGACATTAATAAATAAAACTTTAAAACAGGAAAATTATAAGGCGCATAAGGCTGGAGTTTGCCAAGCCATCCTATAACTGAATATCCCTTTTAAATGAATCTTCATCACTTAGCTATAAAATGAGGTTGGTCTAGAATGTTCTCTAAGATCATTGCCAGCTCTATGCTTCTATGAATACCTCCTAGGGGAAAGGATATATGAGCTTCTCAAGCTATGAGAACAGTAAGAAAAACAGTAGGGACTTTTTGAAAGCAGAATTAGAACACGAAGAAGAAGTGAAACATCCAAAGGGTATCAGTAAAGACTAGCAGAAGAGTGAGAGGCCTGTTTTTATTCAAGAAAGTGAGGGAGGCAGAGACAAATCCTTTCTGGGGACATTAACAGTGAAGTAGCTCCTCTCTAGAGCATCAGACCTTTAATCTCACAGATGGAAGGATTATGGACCCAAAACACCCAGCCTCACTTCCTAGTGCTTAGGGAACATCTGACTGTAAGCTCTGCATCAGGATAAAATGGATTTATAGTCAGCTTTCTAGGAGGCCTGGAATTAAGAAGGTGGGAAGGAGTGATTGTGAAAGTCTGAGAATAAAACTGAGAAGGAAATGGAAAGGGAGAAACAAACAGGTCCTTGACAGTCCTGCCTCTCGTTTCATTTGGTCTCTCCTGTTTTTGTACAGGGTCTGGGTCAGATGTCTGTCTAGTCCACTATCTTGCTGTAAATTCTCAGTCCTGGCTCTCTTGGAAGTTCTGTGCCTCCATCCCTATACCTTTGGGTCTCTCTCTTTTTCTCCATATTCCTACAATGAATCTTCTCCTTCCTCAAGTTCCCTCAAGCTCTATCTTCCCCTAACATGACACCTTAGGCCCCAGACCCTCTTCTTTCCTCCACACAAACCTACAGGCCCTCTTTAACTTTCACTCTCAACAATTCGGTACCTCTAGCTATGATCTTTTTTACACAATCCCCATTTATTCATAGTTATTCCAAAATCATTTACTGAGAGCCTATCAAGTACTCCGTGAACTTGTATTTAAGCCCTGGAAATCTGGTCTCAAGGTGCTCAGTGGGGTAGACAATTACACAGATTAGGTTGGGGTGAGGGCACAAAGGAGATAGTTTCAGGTTCCTCTTCCTCTAAAACAAGTCATAGAGAACTTTTCAGTTCCTTAAACACGTCCTTTGCGTCTTAATCTGTAGCCTCTTTCTCTTCATTCACTAGGTTTACACCACAGGTTTAATCTTCAGCCTTTTCCTGAGCCTGTTTACACAAAGCCTACCCAGCTCCAGGCTAGATTAGATGCTCCTTACATGGCCCCCAGTCCTTTATCTTCCTATCACGTCATTTACTCCTCTGGGTTATAATTATTTGTTGTTTTTTTTAAACCAATGTTAGGAGCTCCAGGAGATGAGACTGGATCTCTCGCCCACTCTTGTGTCCAGCATATACAATGTCAGGCACTTAGATTCAATGAATGAGAAAAGCCTCTCTCAAAAGAATCTCGGACCTTCCATTCCCTAGACCCTTCCCCACAAACCCCGCCCCTCTGGTGGATACGCCCCCTCACCTTCGCATTTGCTAGGCAATCGAACCCAGTCGGTCTCTTCGGCTCCAGCATAGCTCGGGCCCAGCTCCGGGGTTGACAGCAGCAGCAGCAGCAGCAGGAGGTGTAGTAGAAGGCAGCGGGGGCCGGGCTGAGGCGCGAACTCATAAAACGACTCCATGGCCCAGCTAGAGCCGTTCCGAGCGGACCCCGCGGCGCTTCCTCCCGCAGCGCGCGTTGGGCTACTTCCCCGAGCTGCTTCCGGGACTGCACACGTGCCTCGGCGTAACCACGGCAACAGCGAGCCCCATGCCCGCCCCCTTCTCTTGCCACCTCAGCCCGCCCTAGAAGCCGCGGAATACCCGCGGAAGACGCAGCCAATGGACTCTGTCAGGGTTCGCCATCTGGCAAATAGGACGGCGATTTTATTTCGACCTCAGCCAATCAGAGAGCGGATGGTGTCCACAGCAAGTTGTGACAACATTTCTTCTTACCGTTAACTGTAGCTCTGGGAGAGCGCTGGAGGACCGGAATTGCGGATGGGAAGCATCGGTCTGGGTCTGAGTGGGAGGGATCGGCCGAACTGGTCCTGGAAGATGTGGGGAAGGCCGCCTTCACAGTCTTCTTGGCCTTCTTGAACGTCACTTCCCTCCTAGAGTAAATCATAACGCAGTATATCCTTCCTTCTGGTAGTTAGGTGCCATGGAGTTGGTTCCTACTGTGTACCACAGAAGAAAACACTGCAACGTCCTGCGCCATCGTCATTATCGTTCCTGTGTTTGAGCCCATTGTTGCAGTCACTGTGTCAATCCACCTGGTTGAGGGTTTCCCTCTTTTCTTCTGATCCTCTGCTTCACCAAGCATGATGTCCTTCACCAGGAACTAGTTCCTTCTGATATCATGTCCAAAGTATGTAAAATGAAATCTCACCAACCTTGCTTCTGAGGGTCATTCTCCTTCCAAGATAGTTTTGTTCATTCTTTTAGCAGTGCACCACAGTATATTCACTGTTCTTTACCAACACCATATTTCAAATGCACCAATTACTATTCTGTCTTCCTCATTTGATATCCAACTTTCCAGGTGATTGAAAATATTGTGACTTGGATTAGGAGCACCTTAGTCCTCAAAGTGACATCTTTACTCTTTACACTTTAGAGATGTCTTTTTCAGATTTGTCCAATGCAATATGTCATTTGATTTCTTGACTGCTACTGTGGATCCAAGTAAAGTGAAATTCTTGACAACTTCAATTTTTTTTCTCTTTTTAGCATGATGTATATTGGTCCAGTTATGAGGGGTTTTGTTTTCTTTATGTTGAGTTGTAATCTATAATGAAGACTGTAGTTTTTTTGTTTTTCAAGCTTTTACTGTGCATTGAGTGATAGTTTATATGGAAGAACATCAGTTTTGCACCATCCTATCGTATTTCGTATCATTGCAATGATTACAATCCCCTCCATGCATCATCATTCAACAGTTGTTGTAGTTAAGTGCTTTTGAGTTTGATTCTGACCCATAGCGACCCTGTATAGGGTTTCCAAGGAGCAGCTGATGAGCCTGAACTACCACCAAAGGACTTTGCAGTCTGACACATTAGCCCACTGCACCACACCAGTGTTTGCTTCTATTTCCAGTTTGTCATCACCATTCAGCAATATTTGCTTCAATTTCTTGTTTGTTTGTTTGATGTACACAAAAACACTCAGGAATATATAGTCATTTAAACAACCAAAGGGCACACATTCTATAAGCCTGCCTCCTGGCCACCAGCACACAACGTTTGTCTTTCCATGAGTCTAGAGTCCTCAGCTGCTCTATCTCTCCATGTCATCATCTCTGCTTCCTTCTCTGGTGTGGTGGCTTCTCTGGATAGGGTCCCACATTCCACTCATGCTCTTCTCCCTTGATGGTCCTAGGGTCCTCTGTTCCTGGAATGTAAGATTAACTACACTCCCTTTATGTTATAAAACTTCTACCTTTACAGTTGTGACAATTGCAATTCATAATGATAACAATTACTCACTATTGAATCATAAGACTCTTATCCCCATCTCCTTTCACTAGGCAAGATGAAAACTATTCAGTGGGGATTCTACCTTCCTCTGCACTGAAACTAAACTCCTTCTTGAAAACTTGTAAGCCAGTCACTTCATGCCTTTATAGTCCCCCATTTTAGATAGTCAGTGTCTAAGTTGCCCATTCCTATCAACCCTGTGTACAGAGGGGGATATGTTTGATCCTTTATATGAAGACTCCTTCCCTCTTGGTTGGTATTTTGAGCTACTACATCCATGAGTATAAGTTAAATTCATCAAATTGTAGCAATTAAATTTCTTTATCTTTCTCTATTTGAGTTCTGATCATCAAATCATAAAAGCTAGGTCAAATGAGGACTATTTGCAAGTTTGGGCATTCGTGTGCATCTCCTCTCACTTCCTATCAGCTGGATACTTCACTTTCGGCTCTAACCCTCTGTTGCTAGGTCCTTGTGCATGAGCTTAGGAGTCCTCAGGTCTCACCACACTTCAGACCAACCAGTCCTTCCTCTACTCTCTCTCGTCTCCAGGTCGATGGGAGTCTTTGGAATGTGATTGAAACTCAAGGTTGTAGTCTTGATCTTCATCAGTAAGTGCTTGAAGTCCTCTTTGCTTTCAACAAGTAAAGTTGTGTCATCCACAATTGACAAGTTGTTAATGAGTTTTCCCCCAATACTGTGACCCCAGTTTTCTTCATATAGTTCAACTTCTCATATTATATATTCAGCATACAGATTGGATATGGTGAAAGGATACAACCCTGATGTACACCTTTCATAATTTTATTTTATTTTTTGTGACTTGGATTAGGAGCACCTTAGTCCTCAAAGTGACATCTTTACTCTTTACACTTTATAGATGTCTTTTTCAGATTTGTCCAATGCAATGTCTATTTTAAACTTTGTCAGTTTGTCATACAGTGGTGGCTTGTGAGTTGCTGTGATTCTGAAAGCTATGCCACAGGTATTTTAAATACCAGCAGGGTCACCCACGGTGGACAGGTATCAGATGAACTTCCAGATGAAGACATACTAGGAAGAAGGAGAGACGAACTACTTCCAAATAGTTAGTCACTGAAAACCTTATGAATAGCAGAGAAACACTGACAGGTATAGTGCTCGAAAATGAGACCCTCATGTTGGAAGTCACTCAAAATGCAACTGGGGAAGAGCTGCCTCCTCAAAGTAGAGTTGACCATAATGATGCAAATGGAGTAAAAGCCTGTGGGAGTAAAGCCTGCGGGATCTTCATTTGCTGATGGAGCACAACTCAAAATGAAGAGAAACAGCTGTAAACATCCATTAATAATCTGAACATTGAATGTATGAAGTATGAATCTGGGAAAATTGGAAATTGTCAAAAATGAAATGGAACACATAAACAAAGATATCTTAGGTGTTAGTGAGCTGAGATGGACTGGTATTGGCCATTTTGAATCTGACAGCCACATGGTTTACTATGCTTGGAATGACAGATTGAAGAGGAATGGTGTTGCATTCATTAGAAAGAACACATTAAAATCTGTCATGAGGTACAACACTTTCTGTGATAGGATAATATCCATGCATCTACAGGGAAGACCAGTTAATACCACTATTATTCAAATTTATGCACCAACCACTAAAGCCAGTGAGGATGAAATAGAAGAATTTTACCAACTTCTTCATTCTGAAATTGATTAAACATGCAATCAAGATACATTGATAATCACTGGCAATTGGAATGCAAAGGTTGGAAACAAAGAGGAAGGATCAGTAGTTGGAAAATATGGCCTTGGTGATAGAAATGATGCCAGAGATCGCATGATAGAATTCTGCAAAACCAATGATTTTGTCACTTCAAATACCTTTTGTAAACATAATAAGAGATGACTATACACATGGACCTCACCAGATGGAATACACAGAAATCAAATTGACTACATCTATGGAAAGAGACAATAGAAACACTCCATATCATCAGTCAAAACAAGGCCGGGGCAGATTATGGAATAGACTATCAATTGTTCATATGCAAATTCAGACTGAAGCTGAAGAAAATGAAAACAAGTTCACAAGAACCAAAATATGACCTTGAATATATCCCACCTGAATTTAGAGATCATCTGAAGAACAGATTTGATACATTACACACTAAAGACTGAAGATTAGAAGAATTGTGTGATGATATCAAGCACAGCATACAGGAAGAAAACAAAAAGTCATTAAGAAGACAAAAAAAAGGAAAAGATCAAAATGGATGTCAGAAGAGACACTGAAACTTGCTCTCCAGTGTGTAGATGCTAAAGCAAATGGAAGAAATGAGGATATACAAATGGAAGAAATGAGAGCTGAACAGAAAATTTCAAAGGTCAGCTCAAGAAGACAAAGTCAACTATTACTTTGATGAAGAAATGTGCAAAGATCTGGAGTTAGAAAACCAAATGGGAAGAATACTCTCAGCATTTCTCAAGCTGAGGGAACTGAAGAAAAAATTTAAGCCTTGACTTTTGTTATTGAAGGGTTCTTTGGGCAAGTTATTGAATGATGCAGAAAGCATCAAAAGAAGATGAAAGGAAAATACAGAATCAAAAGGAAATGGTTGATGTTCAACCATTTCAAGAGGTAGCATATGATCAAGAGCCAATGATCCTGAAGGAAGAAGTCCAAGGTGCATTGAAGGATTTGGCAAAGAACAAGGCACCAAGAATTGATGGAATAAAAATTGAAATCTTTCAAGAAAGTGAGGCAGCATGGAAGGCACTCACTCATCTATGCCAAGAAATTTGGAAGACAACTATCTGGCCTATTGACTGGGAGAGATCCATATTTGTCCCATTCCAAAGAAAGGTGACCCAATGGAATGCGGAAATCATAGGACAATCTCTTTGATATCACATGCAAGTAAAAAAGTAATACAGAAACAGCTGCAAGCATACATTGGCATCAAAAGAAGACAGAAGATAGAAGTACACAGAGTCTCTGTATCAAAAGGAAATGGTCGATGTTCAACCATTTCAAGAGGTAGCATATAATTAAGAGCCAATGATACTGAAGGAAGAAGTCCAAGATGCATTGAAAGAATTGCAAAGAGCAAGTCACCTGGAATTGATGGAATACAAATTGAAATCTTTCAACAAAAGTGAGGCAACACTGGAGGCACT